TCGGGTTCCATAAAATGCTGGGAAATTCTTGAGTAGCTGCAGAATTTGCGGCTCCTCCAGAAGGGCTCAGCTCCATGAGTAAGTAAATATGGCATTAATAACATAATCCGTTCAGTAGAGATTCCGGAGTTCCTTGTTTCGTGTTTAGTTTCGGAGTTGTGATTCCTCCGGTGTTATCAACCTTGCTTAATCGGTGCAATTAAAGTTAGGTAATGCTAATTGTTCTAATGAATCATGTCCTCTGGCGTAACGTCTAATTATACCGCCATGAAAGCGGTCTGCAATTCTCTGTTGTGCATCTACCTGCCACTTGTGGACGGATGGCAAGCTACTCAGACGGTCTGAGAGCAGAAATTACCAGTTCGCAATTTGATTGCGTGTGAATGCGGACGCAGGAATTCCAGCAGTTTCTTTCCTGCTGGTGAGACCTTAAGTCAGTGGTACCTAACCTTTACTGCAGTCTGCATCCCTTTATTTCTTAAAATATGGTCACGCTCCCACTTGTCAAAAATCGTTGAAGTGGGTCACTTCTGTAAACCTAAATACATTTTTGCATACCTTCCTAAAGAGATCAACTTGCTATCCGTGTGTATCCGCCTACCAGCTTTTCAATGCTTGAACTAATCTTGATGAAACTTGTTATGTACATGTATATCATGGCACGTGAGCCGATCTCAACGGCGTATTTCATACATTCCTCCCATAAGTGTGTGTTTCTGTATGCGAATCCCCCGTATCATTGCTAGGCACCAGCTCGGTAAACATTTCCATCCCGTTCTGGACAATGTGGAGAAGTGAAGAATGTTGCCCCTACCGGGACTAGAACTCCGACACCTCGGCCGTCGAGCTCATAGCCAGTCGCTATACCGACCGCGCTGTCCCAGCTCAGTGACTTTCGCAGTGAGAGTCCCGTATTTATGGCTAAAGTTGCAGTGACTTTCCCCCAGTTATAAAATAAACCATATTTTTGATCAGATGGTTGTTTTGAGACAAGTCATGACCTTCAAGAAAACAGTGTGATGCAATCCGCAGCCCTTTCCGACCCCTTTCTCCAGCTGCGTCAGTACGTTGTGTATGGCTTACGTGGGGAGCACCGGGCCCCTTTTGTGGTTAGGATCCCTCGTTAAAGCTGTAGGTGCCCCTCTACCTGTGATTATCATCCCTATTATCCTAATACGGAGGGCGAAATGTATACCCTTAAACCAAACTGTGAATCCCTTGCTTTCTCCCTAGCCAGGTGGAAAGAAGCTAGAATGTTAAGGACCATACCTGCAGACACAATTAGGCCATTATGTTTCTTATTGTATGCTTTTGGTTGTACTGGAAAGGCTGAGGAAAGTCACCGATACTTCCAAGGCAACGCGAGTGCGTTTCTCTCTCTCAGGGCTGTTATGAAGTTACGTTTATTCTGTAAGAAGATACTGAAAACAGTCCATAGTTTGAAGTGTATGGGTCTTGTGGGAAATAATGACGTGTAGTCCCGAGAAATTCCAGCGTTTCGGAGAAATATTGCCCTCATCTTCAGGGTCGAAGAATAGGCCAAGCAAGGAATCAGCGAAATGAGACGACAAGTGAGCTCTCTCCAAACTACACTCCACTGCATAGTACAGTCGATTCAAGAGCTTAATTTTCCATGTCCGAGCTGTACAGTGTAACACGTATATCACGTGCGAACAAGATTGTCACCTGAGGCCGGAGATCAGATCGAAGAGGCCTTTTTCAGAAGAATAGTGCACGCTGGCCGTGCCTAAAAGTGTGATAGTCGCGGCTAGCAAATAATTTCTAACTACTATTTTTTTATTGCTAGTGGGGTGAGACTAAGTCCCTTGTACTGCGGCCACTTCTGGCCTGCTGTACCAGCCCCAGATCATAGGTGAGGGTGATTGTGGAGCAATTGGTGGAATGAAGATTGGCAGGGGAAACCGAAGTACTCGGAGAAAACCTGCCCCAGCGCCACTTTGTCCACCACAAATCCCACTTGACCAGACCCTGGATCGAACCCGGGCCACCGCGGTGGGAGGCCAGCAACTAACCGCTTGAGCTATGGCGCGGCCATTTCTAACTACTAAGTAAAATAACTGCATTATAAAGAGGCTTCCTAAGGGGATCCGGAAATTCAGCGCCATTTCGAGTATTCCTCCGCTGGGATCTATCCCGAGCCATTTCGAATCCAGTTCACTTGTCACCCCATCCCCCTTCCCACATCTGCTACGTTCCATATTTAGCTTGCGCCTAATATTTCAACATAAACATTCTAAATTACTTCACTATCAGTTAATATTTCTTCTTTATCGTCCTATTTACAGCAGGTCTTAAATCCAGGTACATCCTCTGTTCTGAAACTGCATTGTTTCATGACGACTTATTACATGGGGCACGCCGTAGCGTAGTTGGTTGAGACACTATGCTACAAGCCGGATTGTCGCGGGTTCGATTCCCGATGAGGTCTTTGTATTTTTCAATTAACCTTCTCCTTCCAGCCGCATTGTGGCCTTGGAGTCGACTCAGCCTCACAGAAATTAGTACCATGAATCTTCCTGGGGAAAAAGGCGTCCGGCGCGTAGAAACTGAGGGAGCCTCGTCGTCTCACAACCCTATGGGCCTTCACGGCCTGTTAAAAGGATAGAGTTTTTTTTTTTTCATGAGCCCGGGTCGGGTCGTATGGGATTTGCGGTGGACACAGTGGCACTGGGGAATGTTTTCTCCGAGTACTTCGGTTTCCCCTGCCAATCTTCATTCCACCAATTGCTCCAGAATCACCATCTATCATCTAGGGCTGGTACAATAGGTTACTAGTGGCCGCAGTGCCAGGAGGACTCCGTCTCACCCTACATTGAATAATAAGAAAATAAATAACTTATTACATGGTTGTTACCAGAAACAGTGGCCGCGCGAAGTAAAGCAGGGACTGTCGCCGCCCGCTTAATCACTACGGCCATTATCTCGAATCCCACTTGAGGCATGGATATTTTCGTTTATTCTGTGTTTTTGTTGTCCTGTGTAGGTAACTGCCTTCCAAGGGGCTGATCACCCGTCCAAGGAGTCCTACTGACTGTCTGTAATATTGAGAAACTGCAGTGAAACGAAACGTTTTACAGAAGCCTATGGCCCATAGGGAGCAACAATAAATATAAATGAATAATGAACGTCGTNCGTCGTTGTTGAAAACAGGAATTTTATCATTAAAATTAATTAAAATGATATTTAAAATTATGGAATTCGGTTTGTATTTTAGTTTTCTAACCCATTGTCTTTCCCACAGTGGTAAAACAGCCTGAACCCGACTGCTTAATGTAATGACGTGATCTAGGATATACCCTCAGTTCTGCCCCACCTGCACACCCACATGACGAGACGCATAGATAGAGAGGCTGGTGTACTTAATGGAATGGCTGTTTTGAATTGTAATTCTGAGTACATGAACTTCAGAACAATGATAATTATCGTAAATTATTGTTCAAGTCGACGATGTAGTAAACCGTCCATTAAATCAGAAGGTACGCACGCGCATTGCATTTACTTCGTTTCCTCCAGTCGTGTGTGGTAAAGATTAATGATAGAGGGGTGCAGCTTTTCGCTTGGGTTCGCCGTATGAGAACAGACACTCCTGTGTACACAGTTTTTGTTCCAGGACTTGTTTTCGTCTTGAGACTTGATTGTTATGTAATTATTATGCTATGATATGAGCGAACTTTAACGTAGCAAGTATGATATAGCCAGCTTGTTTGTGAGCTTGGACTCAGTTTCATTAGTCAGGACGCTTCTTCCATCTTGTCGGGCCAAACCTAGCACACAGCTTTGCTTCGCGGTTACGGTTAAGGAATAAAACTAATCGGCAAATCTTGTTTCCAACTTAGATAAGAAACTGAATTGAATGGCTGGCTAGATATCTCGCTCAGGGCTAAGTACGGAAGTCTAAGCAGTAATGAACGTGGTACTTGCTTAATGCGACCTCCACAATCTCTCTCTTTCTTTCCTGTGGCTCCAACTTTGGAGCAAGAGCATCCATAAAACGCTTTGTTTCATTTCAGTTTCTTAATCCTAAGACAGTCGGTAGGACACCGTGGAAGGGGGGGGGGATCAGCCCGTCGCAAGGCCGCTACCTAAGACAAACAGAATAAACACACACCCATGCATTGAGTGGGAGTCGAACCCACGATCCCAGTGTTGGAGCGAGCGAAGACAGCTCACGCCTTACGTTGACCGCGCGGCCACGGTGATCGACACCTTCAAACATCGATGTACGTTAATTATCCGATTTTGTGCGAAGGTCAAACAAAGAACGTATAATCGGGAAGATGTTTCCATCCGCGTGTTCTTAAATGTCGGGAAATACCGAACAAATTACTATTCTGTCAAATCAGCGTCTAAAGTTGCTAAGCGAAATTGGCAGAATGTAGAGATTTGTAACGCTGGAGCAGTTGGTAACATGCAGTATCCACTGTGTTTTAAGGGGTTTGATTCCAGTCTGCCCAATATAACACGTTTTTTTTTACATGGAGTACAAATTAAACCTTTCAGATTTTCTTAAAAAATGTTTTGTCGTATAAGATTATTACGTAACAACACAACGCTGTGTGGTCAGTTTACGTGCTACACTGCCCTACCAACCCAAATAGTGTGACGTGACAGAATGAACATTGACAGTTGGAAACTGCCTGACGAAGTCAGAATTCGATAAATGATTCTTGATTTATGAAATTTCTGCTTCCTTTACTTTTCCTCACTCACATTCTGATTCTTCTCCTTCGCCCTCCTCTCCCACGTGTCCTCACGCTCATCCTTCCACTTCTTTCCCTACTTTCCTACTCACCATCACATTTCTCCTTCCTTCCCTTTATTCCCATCTTCCTCGCTCTCGCTCTTCTGCGTCAGTTCCTCTTCTTATTTCTCCTTGTTCTCAGTTTCTGCTTCATCCCCTCCTCTTCTTTCTGCCTCACCCACCTTCTTCACACATGTCTCTTCATTTCCTCTTGGTTCCTACTCTGTTGCGTTAATCCCTACTTATCCTCTTCATCATCACCCTTTCTTTTCTCCCTCCCCTTTTGTCTCCTCTTCCCCATCTTTTTCTTCATTCCCTTCACCCCCTTTTCATCGTCACCATTCCGCTTCAATTCCTTGAGTTCTTTCTTCGTTCCCATGGCCTTCTCCCGGTACAGAGCCTTGGTATCAAGCCAAAGGCATGTTGCAGGTCTTTTGTAACTGCCATGTCCACCATTTTTTAACTGGCCCTAAAATTCCACTTACGCACTATCGAAAACTGATAATTGTCTGTACGGCATTCAGCCAGTTTCCTTTGTCATTCACCAGAGAACCGTTTAATTAGTGTTCCCTTCAAACGGCGATGAAGCAGCCTTATTTATTTAAAGGCGAAAAAGTGTCAGACGGTTAGGTGTTACGTTTGCCGGCCATTTTATTTTCACGTGCTTTTACGTATTTCTGGTGCTATAGGGAAGAAAACTCACTTTAACCCTCTAAGCACTGAACTTCATCTAAATAATATATACAGATACAGCTCGTACCTCACAGGAAACACATTAAGTCTCCACTACAAAGCCCAACGGATTAATGCTGTTTAGGGAAACAGTCGCCGTTTGCTGTGAGAACGATACGGAACACACAGATGGGTCGTCCCATAGCTCAGGCTGTTAGTCGCAGGGTCCCAACCGCGACGGCCAGGGTTCGATCTCACGACAGGTCATGTGTGCTTTGTAATTGACAGAGTGGCACGGGGGCCGGGTATCTCCAAGTGTTTCGGTTTCCTCTGCCAGTTCTCATTCTGCCGACTTCTCCAGATCCGTGAACCATCCGGAACTCTATGGTTTCGATAGTGACCGAGCAGGCCTTAGAGAGTTAGCAGTTTACGATCGCCCCTGCAGTTTGAATTCCTTGCTGTAAGTGTTATTTACGAAATGTCGGTTCGCGACGCATTTGTAGTCAGGAGACTATTTAAGCTCCAGCCCTTAACTCTTTGAATCTTGCAGATTGGCTTAATGACATTTAACTAGTTAGGAAATGTCTTCATAGCGTAACAACTCAGGCACGATCACTCTATTTTGGATAATTATCCCTGAAAATTATAACAAATTCCCCTTGGAGGACATTCAGACATTGCTGTTCATGAAATTGTCTTTGCCATCGTGGTAATCGGAAATATTCAATGTGATCTATTTCTAGATGTGTTTCTAGATCACACTGAATATTTCCAATTACTGTGATGGTAAAGACAATTTTATGAAGAACAATGTCTGAATGTCCTGCACGATAACTTTGGTTTAGTGTTCACAGTTCCTGGCTGCAGATACAGAGGTCCCGGGCTCGATTCCCTGCGCTACCAGATTTTCTGAGAAGTAGTGGGTCTGGAACGGGGTTCACTCAGCCTCGTGAGGCTAACTGAAGAGCTGTTTCAAGGAAATAGCGCTCCGGTCTAGAAAACCGAGATTAACGGCCGTGAGAATCCGTTGGGCTGACCACGTGACACACTCTATCCGCAAAAGTTTGCACTAACTTCGCCGACGAGTGGCGGTCGCTCGATCGGTATAGTTTTCTTTTGCGGACTACAGGCCACCGAGTTTCTTTTTCATCTATTTCTATAGTAGCACCTTAAGTTCTGTGATTAAAGTATTTAAGAGTCGTCATTATTTGCAACTTATCACACGTCAACCGAGCCGTATTCCGATCTCAGACTGCTTTTGAGATATAGCGTTAAATCTGGCGAACTGAAATCCTAACATAGGACTTGAATTTGGAAACTTTTACTAATGTAAAAAGGAAATCATTCTTGTTTCTGTTATGTTTAAAACATACCAGAAGAGAATCCTCATTTGTCAAATACTGTTACCGGAAGAATCGTCGTGTTATTGATCATTCGCCGTAAAGAAAGGTCTGTGCTAGTACCCAGCTGGTATTTAGGACACAACCAGTGTATTTTTTGTTTTGTTTTGTTTTTATTCGAGTGCAAACTATTATTTGAAACTGGCTTGTAACATTGCAGTAAGGTGTAAAGATAGTTTACAGGTTCAAGTACATCTGTTATCATGTCAGAAGTTCAAACAATAACATGAACGATTGAAACCTTTGAAATACATTTTATGCATTTTGGCAACCCTGCGGAACTAAATGGAACTAAGCTGCTCCATCTGTCCAATCAGTTCGCATGAAACAACTGCAGGACCGCTGTATTTTGTATTTGGGAGTACTTTTTGTCTTCTTGTGTTCCAGTTTTGGTTAAAATCGAAACTAACCGACGCTTCACATGAAGACCCACCCTCATTTCTGCTCATATCCCGAGCATAACTCGTTAAGTATTTATCAGAGTAAAAAGTGTTGGAACAAAAGATAGGAAGAAAGACGAAACATATTTTATGCCCTCGAGTCTCACTGCTATCGAAATAATGAAACGATGTTTTCTTTACGCTGTGCGTGCATTTTCTGAAGTTGTATATTTAGCAATTAACAGTGACCTCCATAACACACTCGAATGTTACGAAACAGTCAAGAATATTTTTCCGAACTCACGAGAAGTTTACATAATCATCAGCGGTAGTTATCCGAACACGTACGATGATTACCGAAGTCGTTTTCTCTCTCTCTCTCTCTCTCACTACTTAATTATTATTGAGAACAGCGAACTGCAGTACTTTTAGCTTTCTTCCCCCCGGAATTTATGGGTCTGCACGTTGGTACATGGTATTCGTATGTCTTCCCTTTAAGAATTCCTGCGCCTATTCCCTGCTCTCGCAGTTTTGTGTCTCCCTCTCGTTGATTTCGTTATACTGTATCTTCATTGGAGATTCGTATGTATCATCATCGGTAAAACGACAATCTTTTAGTCCAAGCTATCCTTAGATTATTCTGTTAGATTTGATCCGGTTATCACCTCTTTGGATTTCGTAACATATTTTTTACAGAGCAAGGCCGTTAGCCTTGCGTCCAATCTCCAACATGGAGGCCCAGGTCTCTCTGTATTGATGTCCCTCACTGACAGCGTGGTCCTAGTTATACCCGCAAGCACCGTGTGTATATATAATTAAAAGAATATAAGTATTGTATGAGCATACACACATTATGTTCAGAATTACTTGGTGTTGGGACTTTGACCATCGTCCGGTATTCCAGAAACTAGATTGAGGTTAGCACTTTCTAAGGGGCCCAAGTGAGTAGGTGTCTTCCCCGCCCCTCACATGAGGACAGAAACAGATGAAGTTTCCGAAACGTTGTGTTTTCTGGTTTTTAGAATACCGGACAACGTAAGCCAGTAATTCTGAGTGTTATACACCATCGTCAGAACCCTCAGAAATGTTATGTTTCTGGACATTATCCATCGTCCTGTTTTTATTTAGAACACAGCGTTTCGGAGATTGGATTCTCTCTCCATCTTCAGGTTATACCTACTCAGTTGAGCCCATAACATAATGTTTATGTTAATGTACCATCGTCACATACTTTAAATCTTATTTATGAAAATACTTGAATAAGCACTGAAATTACTTGAGCTTATAACAATGAAACACTTGCGATGAATGTAAGTGTTTAATTCCTTTCACGAAACGAAGGTCGATAACTTCTTGGCTAGCTGAGCGACTGTTAACTTCTCAAGGATTGCTCCTGAGAGTTTTGCCTACTTAACAGTTTTCGATAAAAATGCTGGTACTCTTAAGCGAATAAATCGTCTCTACTATAGAAAACTTGTATTTTCGGAGCCTGGAATGTATGAGACGCGACACCGGTCCTGTGGATACTGATGTGTGTGAATGTTGGGAGATCCAGAAGAATGCGATTTGCCCAAAGGAGGTACCAGTATGCCCAGTAAGTGGCTTATGCTAATTTGAACCAGTAAAGCATATCGCTACTGACCTTGAGACCGGTTTGCAGTTTTGAACTATTGTTACGTTTCGTGTGCGTTCGGAGAAGCGAGAGTTCCAAGAAGGCAGATGAATGTCAAAGTAAAGGACCACTCCTGGATCCTATTGTTTTGAACGTGATTGGAGAGCTTAGGGTGCGGTCTGATTAATAGCAACGGGTGTGACAACAGCTGTTAACTAATGGTGATGTACAGCTTTTGTTTCTTTTCTTTTTTTTTAGTATAATACAGACAAGGTCGTCATGTGGTTAGTTTTGAGGTCATCGTTGGATTTATTATACGGGGGCTACGGTAGGAAGACTGATGGATGGACCACCCATATGTGCCCCACGAGCAGTTACAGTTTCCTTCCAGTGCATAGGGCGATTCTAAATTATTGTCGGCGTTTCCGTTTATAGACCACGGAAATCCCGACAGTCATCCCGGTTTCCAGTCTGATCAGGCAGTGCTAGTGCTGGTAGCGACTTCCGAAATTCCGCGTTGATCGATGACGCAAGCTGATAAGATTGGACAGACTATACATGTCGTCCCTTCGTCCCTGTGCAACCAGGGTAGCGACGTCAGCTTCCACAAGTACCGTCAGGGAAATCGGTACCCCATAGTCAAAACGGGATGCGCGAGGGAGAGTCAGGATATAGGTCACAAATGGAAGTAATAATAAGTTTTCTGTATCACTAGGTAGCGGCACAGCCCAGTTTAAAGACAGTCTAGGTAGCAGACAACCATGCGCATGTTCAGAAGATGGTTTCAGTAGTCAAAATGGCAACTGTGCTTGAGGAGTGTATTGCCGAACAACAGCATTCTGTTGTATGTTTTTTTTGGGGGGGGGCAGAAGGACTCAGTGCAACAGATATTCATAAAGAAATGTTTCCTGTTTTGTCGCCTAAAGATGTTCACAGCTGGGTCGATAAATTCTCTCAAGGACGAAGTGGTTGAAACGGAGGCGCGGAAGTGGTTGAGACAATAATCAAAAGACTTTTATTTTGCTGGTTTCGACGTACTGGTAAAGCGATGGGACAAGTGTGTCAATGTTGGTGGAGGGTATGTCGAGAAATAAATGTTTTTTTCCCCCCAGTTTCGAATGTCAGATGTTTACATTTTATATCCATTTGTGACCTATTTACTGTCTCTCCCTCATAGTAACTTGTCTTCCTTTCCGTTCGTGTGGCCCAGTGTTTCTCTTGACGGTTGGCTGGGTGGGACATGAGGTCCCAAAAATAATAACTCAGTCACAGGAAATTCGCCTACACAAAACAAACGTTTCGAGCTTTCTAAGCACGTGCTTGGCATTGCTGCATCGCAATCCGAATGCGACACAACCGTTATAAACGGGCGCGTC